CACACACACACACACACACACACACACACACACACACACACACACACCTTGTTGTAGTAAAGTATCGCCCTCCAACATTTAATGTCAGCCAGTCCGTGTGGGATCCTAGTAATCCTCCAGGTGGTTTAGAATCTGTCTGAGGATCTAGAGATAACATGAAATATAGAAATATTAAGATTGAAGATTCTAGAAAGACAATAAAATAATTTCTCAGAGCAAAGGCCCATAAAAAGCTATCAAAGTACCCAGACAACCATGACAATGCAACCCAAGAAACAGCCTACTAAATTGCTAGACTAAGGGAAGAAAACTCCTTTGGGTGATCAAGAATAGTCTCTAAAGACTATTTAATATTCACTTAAGACTAGATTTTTTTGATGCCACTCTTTATGTCAGAATAAGGTGAAATAACTTCATAATACCCAAATAAGAAAAGTGAGGACCAACAACTTTTTTCAAAGGCCTCATTGTAAAACTGACATAAATGTACAAATTTAAAGTTTATAATTTGATAAACTTTGACGTGATTTCACATCTGACTTTCAAGTACAGAGCCATAAACTGTCATAGCTTGCAAGATGCTAGAAAAAAAAAAATGGTCTCAAAGACTCTGGGAAGATTCTGTTGGATTAAGTTTCAGACAGACAAGCACTGAAGGCAAGCATTAAGTGCACTTGGGGAAGGAAATGTCAGGGAAGCTTAGGAAGAAAAGACAGTAAACAATGGACGTACTTTCTGACAATGTGGAAACAAAACCTTTTTTAACAAAAAGATGAAGGCAGGAGGCTATACAAAAAGTGTTAAGCTGTTAGCAGACCCTATCAGTATTGAAAAGATTGATTATTCCTCTGAAATTTTTATGTGGTTTTTGAGTGGGAGGAAGTGGATGAACAATAATGTGCACTGTAATTCCATCCCTCTCTGTATTCTTGGCAATCAGTTACTGATATAGAAGAAGGGAGACAAAGTTAAGACAAAAACAAACAAACAAAAAAGAATCAGTAAAAATCTTATAATCCTGAATACTCCCTGAAAGATTCAGTATGAACTCATGAGATATTTTATATCAGATTATACAACATAAACATCTCATTTTTGTCCATGACAAAAAAGAGTAAGATTAATGAATACTTTATTACACTGGACAGTAAAGAAACCATGAAAGACTAATGAGGTTGAGTTAAAAATACAAATACGTTTCCACTGGCCAGATGAGACATTTGGGACATCAATGCATGCAGAGGATGAAAAACCAATTAAATATTCTCAAGTCTTTTTGTTTTTTTTTTTTCACAAGAATAAACAAAAATTCTAATAGAATTTTTTGCTACTTTTTGGTTGGGAAGGGCTTTGGGTGACTGAACTTGGACCTCTATACACAGCAGACACTGGTTCTACCACTGAATTAAGCCCCAGTCTAACTATTTATCACTCCGTGAATAACTTGTTATGGCTAACCTGCAATGAATCAATTGAGAACCACTTTCGGTCAAGCCAATGGATACAGGATGATAGAGAATAGATTTGCTCATAGTTTAAGGTAGAGACAGAAGAGGCTATATATTTATTTTGTTGTTGGTTTTATTAAGACGAGAAGTCTCACAATGTATCCTTGGTTGGCCTGCAGTTCACTATGTAGATTAGGATGTCCTGGAACCCACAGAAATATATCTACCTCTCTGCTTCCTAAATGCTAGGATCAAAGGCAAGCAGCCTTTGTGTCCAGCACACACAGTTACAACTGTGTCCAGCACACACAGTTACTTTCAATGTGGCTACTGCCTGAAGCAATCCCTTTTACTTATCAAATACAATGACGGTAATGCTTTAAAAACACTTAAACAGAGCTCATGGGTGACTATAAGGAACAAAATAAAGAATTCGTTAAAGAATATTTGCTTACTTATGTATTAGGTCTTTTCTTTAGAGATATTCAACTATATACTCTTTCTTCCAAATGAAAGGAACATGGCTGAAGCCAAGTCATGTTTTCATTGTAAGATTTGCTCAGCAGTAAAGGACTGTCAAATACTATGCAAGGAATACATGGTTACAAGTAAGTAATATAAAACTAAGAGAAGTTCTAGCAATCACTACCAAGGAAAATTTTTAAACAAAGAAAATTTGTTTCTAAAGTCACAATTACTTTATTATGTCATTTGAACTTTAAATGTACAAATCTAGCACATCTTAAGGCATGTGAAAGAAGAAATATAGACTAGACTATAATTACAATTCAAATTATGAGTGTAATTTGACATAAACTCAGGGGAGAATAAAAAAGAATGTGAAGATCTGAGTTCAGTCATCATAATTTTTTCATGTTAAGTCATATAGCTCCTTGTAAAGTATTTACCATTTCATGCTTTTTACTGCAGCAAAGAAAAATGGTACTTAACAAAGTAACTTACCAATAAATGGTTCTCCTTCACATACAAACAACACATCATCATCCCTGGGAAAATCAAATTTAAAAAGCCACAATTAAAGAAAGAAAGCACATTACTTAACTCATGACTATCTGAACTATTCCATTGAATACAGATGACAGGCTTTGTCACCAATCCACCTACAAGGAAACAGTCTCCAGGGCTCTGTTTACCCCTGACTAAACCCAAATTCAAACAGGATCAATCCTGTATATCAAAGTATTTTTGAAATGGAAAAAAAAAATTCTCACTATCAAATCTTATTAATTTGGCCTTTTAATTGCAGAACATACTGTCTTATGTTCAAAAGACATGACTGAAGCCACAGGCTTTTGTTTTTATTTTTATTTAGGGTTAATTCTTTAGCCCTAAATAAATTATTGGAGTGCTTTCTCAAATACTTTGCTGCTGAGTACTTCAAAAATTAAAACAAACTGTCATATTAAATTCTGGAAAAATGAAACCCTAAGCAGCTCTGCTATAAACACCTGCTCACTGCACATCTACCATGACCACATTTAAATATTTCAGATCACCTACCCACTTGGAGTACCAAGTGATCTCCTCCCCAAGGACTCTTGCGCCATTAGTGTAACTCAATGACCACAGACACTACTGTGAACCAGAACACACTGTGCAAACCTTGCATTCTTCTGACACAGTCATATGCATCTGATCTACAGGAATTATTTTGTGGATCAACTTAGGATACACTGAGTTCTTGGGAATAGAATTTATGACTGAAAATTAGGCTGGTATGTAACATTCAGAGATGTTGGTCAATTATCCATAGAAACTGAAATAAAGAAAAAAAACTAAGACATTCTAACTTATTTAGATTTGCATTTCAATTCATATTTTCTCCTTGCTCAGTTTGCCAGTTAACGTTTCTAGATTAGTATGAAAGTTTGTCCTCATAGACAGCTGCTGAACTCTAGGCCCTGCATAAGACTTTTCAATCCCAGGTGCTTGTTTTAATTCTTAAAACAGAGATGAGAATCAATGACTTTCAGAAGAAGTCTATTACTCTGGAGGGTCAAGCCGCCCTGGATTTGAGGGTAGATTGATCCTCACATACACTATCGTTTAAAGCTAACAGTCTTTACGGCATCAATTAAAACACTCATGCTTTGCCTATCAAACAAGGCAACTCAAGCAAAGCAACCACATTGCTGGGGTGGTCTCTACCTAAAGACCGTCTCCTTTATCATCTTTCTGCTAAACTACTTCTGTGCCTCAAAACTGCCTCATCCTTTAAGGGGTGAAGTAAACTTGACATCCATTTCAAGTGATAATCTACCTGGGACATTGAGAAAACAAAAAGCGGCTTAAAAAAGCAATACTGGGGTAGACCCCAGTGATATCTCGAGTTCGAATTTTGTAAAATTTAGTATCAGTTCTTTGTGGTGTTTATAAAATTAAAAAGAATGAGTTTAGCAATAAACAAGTACATGTAAGAAATGTTTAAAATTTTAAATTACTCTAAAGAAGATATTCTCAGTACCATATATATGACCAAAGCAGACTATCAATATACTGAAATACAGTTAAGGGTTCTCTATCTGATCAACAGACTTTTGAGTCCAAGTGATTTAAATTCCAATCAGCTAATTCTAAACAATCACTTGCCCAAACCCAGCCTTCATAACAACAATGACACCACTGCATAAGCAAAACACATAACCCCAAGACTCTAAGGGTACACAATTGACAGCTTTAAACGGTGAAGGTTACCTGATCAAAGCAATATCATCAATCAGTCCACCTTTCCCATTATATACGCTGGTGGCTTTTATGCCGAGTTTACTGCTGGCCACTGAAAGCAAATCAGACAAAGTTCCATATACAGCAACCACCTGTGAACACATCAGATTAATTTGAACAACATATACAAAAAATTCCATCACTGACATTACAGATTAAAACATCCAAAGAACATGTTGGGAATTCTGAGCACTATCTGATCCAGTTACTTTGTGCCTCCTACTGTAGAAACTAGAAATTAGAGAATAAGAACCCCACAGAAGAGAGGGAGGAAAGAATGTAAGAGAGGGGATGGAAGACACAGGAGAACACGGCCCATGGAATCAACTAAGCGGGGCTCATATAGCTCACAGAGACTGAAGCGGCAAGCGTGGTGCCTGCATGGGTCTGCGCTAGGTCCTCTGCATATACGTCATGGCTGTTAGCTTGGTGCTTTTGTGGAACAGTGGGAGTGGGTGTGTCTCTGGCTCTTGCCTGCTCTTGGGACTCTTTTCCTCCTATTGGATTGCCTTGCCAGCTTCAATATGAGGGCATTTGTCCTGTTTTATTGTATCTTGTGTTGTCATATTAGGCTGTTGTCTCTTGGAGGCCTGCTCCTTTCTGAAGGGAAACAGAGGGAAATGAATCTAGAGAAGAGGGGTGGAGAGCCAGGAGGAGTGTAGGGAGGGAAAACTGGTTGGGATGTATTGGATAAGAAAAGAATCAGAGCTGGAGAGATGCCTCAGAGGTTAAGAGCTGTTCTTCCAAAGGTCCTGAGTTCAATTCCCAGCAACCACATGGTGGATCATAACCATCTATAGTAAGATCTGGTGTATAGGCAGAATGTTGTATAAATAATAAATAAATCTTTAAAAAAAAAAAAAGAATCAATTAGTGAGATGGCTGAGAGGGCAAACACACTTGCCACCAAGCGTGAGGACCTGAGTTCGATCCCCAGGACCCAAGCAAAAGTAAAAGAAAACAAATTCCTGAAAGCTGCCCTCTGACCTGTGCTCTCAACATACATACACTTAAAGAAAAGAATCTATTTTCAATAATAATACTAAAAAAGAAATTGTGGCCAAGCACAAATAATTTAGAATCTTAACATTCAACCTGGACTTAAATTTAGATTAGCATTTTTTACCTGCTTGTGACAAACTCTATGCTTTGTTACTTTAACAAGTAATGAAGAAAGAAAACAGTAGCATCTACTTCAGTTTTATGAGAAAACAAGATGATGCCTACAGCTTAGCTTAGTGCCTAAGCTCCTTAAGTCCTTATTATGCTGTTCTTACATTATTCCTTTGAAGGAATGGCTCAATTTTTAGAATAGCAATGGTTTTCTGATGTTTAGTATGTTATTCACTACATCAACTATCATAGAGAAGGTAACAACTTCCCACTTCAATAATTTTTCAAGAACTATTATTTTATGAAATCCAGACTTAAGCATCTGGCATTCTGAATACATCACTATGGGGCTGTATAATAAACTGGCCAGTTCTGCAATGTATCAAGCAGGGTCTAGTACATAATGATGCATGCAGCTGCATTAGCAGAGTTGAGAATCATTCCATACATGGATCCTGTGCACTGACTTCCCAGTGGCTGAGATAATTCCTGATGGCAGCACTGCCAGCCAGGGTCTCCAGAACTGAGGAATAAAAAATAAAACTGTAATGCAAAAGGGCAAAGACAATGGCGAGCACGCAACATGGCTGAGTTGAGGAGTGGGGGCAAGAGCACCTCCTCCCCAGAGCTGCACCTTCATCCTCACCTGTATGGCACTAAGAACTTTTAAATCCTTCCTTTTCTCCTTGTCTGCCTCTTGTGTATTCTACATGGCTTTCTTTTGCCTCACATCCACTCTTGCCCTGACAACTTCCTCTCAGTAGGTCTTCAGTTTCTGCTGGCATACTCTATAAAGTGGATGCAATGAACTACCTTATAGTGAGCTCCCAACTTCATTGTGAGACGTTAAGACTTTATGTAACTTACTTTTCAAAATCAATCCAAATAAACTGTTGCCTACTTGCACACAATTGAGTTGGTTTCTCCTATACCTTGGTTGTTTTTTAATGATCAGAAAGGCCGCCAACCACACTCTAGTGCTGCACTGATTACACGAGGATGCTTACATTTTAACTCAGTAAACTGAATTACAAGTTTTTAAAAGGCAGTTCATTAGCTGCACTGCTCATATGTCAAACACTCAACTGAACCACGGGCTCATGCTCAACACATTCAGCAGCACACGTGAGCTTTCTACCATCACAGTTCTACTGGTTAGTACTGTTCTAAGCCACAGGGTAGAGCAAATAATGGTGCAACAGCTATTTTTACCTAGGAAACAGCACCAGTAGTAACTAAGTAAAGAATGTGTTACTGCCATCTATGATGGTTAGAACGAGAGTAGCCTCTACAGGCTTGTGTATTTCAATAATTAGTTCCCAGTGGGTGGAACTGTTTGAGAAGGATTGGGAGGCGTGACCTTGGTGGAGGTGAGCCACTGGAGGTTTCAAAAGCCCATGCCATTCCCAATGTGCCTCACTCTCTCCTTGTTGTAGTTCAAGATGTAAGCTTTCAGTTACTGCTCTAGGACTGTGCCTGCCTGACTACTGCCATGCCCTCTGCCATGCAGGTCCTAAACTCTAACCTTCTGAAACTGTAAGCCCCAAATAAATAACTTCTTTTATAAGTTACCTTGTTCATGGTGTCTAATCACAGCTACAGAAAAGTTATTTTAAAGAGATACAAAAATGAAGATAACATGTTCCCAGTTTTCAACTTGCTATGAAGTCAACACTGAACATATGACAGAGAAACACCCACACAGTAACTGGTAAAGCCTATGCTCAAGATGGTCAAAACGTGATGGGCACTTTTATGTTGGATGAAAAACTAAGGAATCAATGTATAAACTGAATTCAACTTTTATTTTAGTACCAATAAATCAGTTTTAATACACCAGTAACATAATTTATAATATCACCAACCATCTTCTCTTTCTTGCTTTTTCTTTTTTCACTTTTTTTTTTTTTTTTTTAATTTGGTTAGAAACAAGCACTAACACCGTAACCTAGTCTGTCTTAAAATTTACTATGTAGCCCAGGCTGGCTTCAAAATCAGATCAATCTTTCAGATGTTTAATCAATTATTTTCTAACCTTACAGTTTCAATGGCAAAGTGAGTTTGTCAAAAGTTGCTGTTTATTCTGTGAATATCAACCAATTACTATTGGTATAGCTGAGGAGCAAAGCTAAAACAAACAAACAAACAAACAAACAAACCGATGTAACAGTTAATGCAGAGACTTAAAAGTGATCAAAGTGTAAACTAAGTGACCATGAGTGCTCAGCTGTGATTGAATATTTCCCCAATCCAAGTCTTAGGAAGTGTCTAAGAAGAGAGGACAGAAAGACTGTAAGAGGTGGCTGATGAGAAAGAGTGCTGAGAAATGCTGACTTCTGGACATGACTATTGAACACATCAACTTGCAAGTTCTATAGTTATCTGCAAAAAGACCTGTACTGCCATATCAAGCCAGGCAAAATTTCAACATGAATGGGGGGGGGGGGGGCAAGGGTAAGTTCTTAGTGGAGCAGCTATTGGCAGTTGACACTGCTAATGGACAAGGAGTCACTTTCCTTTTAGGACATGGTTGGTAACAAATTGTCCACACTCTGGTGGATGGTCCATATCCGCGTACATATGAGCAGCACTAATTGAATTCAGGGGTTACTTTTTAAAGTTATGTATCTGGGGTGTGTGGTATGAGCACAGGTCTCTGTGAAAACCAGGGTCATTTGCTGCTCTGGAGCTCAAGTTATAGGCAGTTGTGAGCCACCCAATGTGGGCGTTGGGATTTAAACTTCAGCCCTCTACAGGCAGTAAGTACTCCTGAGCCATCTCTCTGAAGAGGGAGCAGGAGGTGGGGCTGGGGTGAAGGGGTTGGGGGTGGTTCTCAAATTACAGCCAAAGCCTGTAATATAAAAATTATCAGAACTGTGATAAAATTATACCCCAGCCGCACTCAGACTTACTGGGGTTGGAGGACACAACTGTTTTTAAGCCCTCCCATAAAGCTCTCCAGGAAATTCTTGATTTTACGCTAGCGTACGTGCACACAGTAGTGTGCGTGGCGCGCGTCTGCTGACGGGAGGATGGATAAACTGTGGTAGTGCTTTATATTTGCAGTTCACAAAGATTTGAAAATGTAGATGTTATTACTAAGTGCTAGAAACTGAAAATGAGAAAAAGTCAAGTTTGGAGGAACTAAGAAAGCAACAGAGAGAAAAAACATAATGAAAATGCCTTTTAGTATTTTCATTTTAGTATACCATCAATATTTTACACTGTAAGCTTCTATATACATCAAATATATTAAGAAACAATCCAATTGAAAGAACATTTGGATGCCAAGTGTCAGATTCTCACCTCTAATAGCATAATGAGTTCAAGGCTGAATATGTGACACCCACAACATATTTCTGACTTGATATCAAAGTTTGAAGAAAAGTAATTTCCTGGGCAGAGAAGGCAAACATCAGTCCAGAATGCAGATGTTTCCTCGCCTGCTGTGCCTGCAGCATTTGGCATGGAGGTTCACACTCACACAGTACCTTCTTAAGTGGTAGCTGAATGAACACTGTATACAAAAAGCCTACGATTTGCCCAACTCATTACTGATGGCACTAATGCAAGGTTGTTCAGCATCACACGTTTTACTTAGGTGTCTGAGTCTTCAGTCCATATTCTTAATACTAACCTTTACAAGGAATATTAAAGAGGCCAAAGGAACCTGGCAGGCATATGGAGGAGAGATGAAAGGCGTAGACATAGCTGACCTTCCTGGAGCCAATAACAGCTCCCTTCACTCCCATAATTCAAACACGTCAATATTTTGGGAGCATAATCTTCTAAGCCTATCAGTAGATCGGTTCTGCGCTTGAGCCCCTTCAGTTGTGCCAAGGTCAAAAATGTTTTTCTAAATGGTATGAGGACTTTTATTTACCTAGACTACAAATTGGCCAGTAAGAATATTTATCATTAAGTTTAGTGAAATTCTGCTAAATGTAAGATTCCCTTTAAACAATAAAGGTTTTTATTCTTTTTCATGTGTTCTTGATTATATGCAGGCAGGAGTGAGTGTTCAGGTGTGCATGTACCTGAATGCACAAGCAGGCTGAGGCCCCAGGTTTATTTAAGGAGTCTTCTGCCAGTGCTCTGTACCTTACTTATTGAGGCAGGCTCTTTCAACTGATCCCTGGGTTTGCCAATATGGACAGCCTAAAGAGTCAGCTTCCTCCTGGGATCCCTCATCTTTGCCTTTAGGGCCTGGAATTACTGAAGGACTGCCATATCTACCCAATATTTGCTCATCAGGATCCCAACTCTGGTCCTCATACCTGCTACCTGTGCAGTACTTTTAACCCCTGAGCCATCTCCCTAACCCAACAGTTTTTAAAAACTAAGGTAAAGGGAATAAAAGCAATAAAACAAGTGCGTGCGCGCGCGCGCGCACACACACACACACACACACACACACACACACACGGCAAACAACCAAGACCATTTGCCTGCATGTATAGAAAAATACTTTTTTCATGTCTTGGTAATTAGGATGACCTCACTGGCTAATAGTTCAAAGAACAATACATCCTAAGGAAGAAGTTGACTACAGCAGTTATTAGGCAAAAACTCCAAATAATTTTCTTAAAACATGACATTCTTTGGCTTCTGAGATGCTTTTATTTTAGTTTTTAACTTTACAACTGATACTAGGAAAAGCAGCCAGCTTTGCCACTTTCTCAATGTTTTCTGTGCTTGCATAATTAATAATGACTTCAATATGCAGTTTCTTTGATGAGGTACTCCTTAAAAGTCACTTAGCACTTAGTCGACGGCTAATTTAGTTAAGAGTGAATGGCGTAAATCTCTGCAGTATACTTAGGCTTCTATAGATCACATGTCAAAGAGAACCAATTAGTAAATAAGCTGCTGGCTATCAACCTATCTGTGAAGGAAGAAAACAAGACCAGCCTGACAAGTTCAGTGATTAGAGGCTCCCATGCTTTTCCAGATTAGAAAAACCAATTTTTTAATTATTTTGTTTTAAAATAAAAATATAAATACTATACATTCCTTCCTAAGCCCCAATGGGTCATCTTACAGCTCCCATGGTATTTCATTTCACTGAGTAAAAAACAGCTCTTTCACCAACATTAAAAGCATTTATCAGTCACACAAATAGAAAATGCATGATGATGAAATCTGTGCCCTTCTACCTCACAGCCCATAGTCTAACAGCCACAAAGCAAGCTGTAAGAGGGAAACATATTGAAAAAAGTTATTCTCATGACTAGAAGACAGAAACCAGGTAAGTAAGGAGACAATCTAAACGATACAGTCTACTGCTTAGACAGGAAAGCAAACTCTTCAGAGTAACACTCCATTTGGGAATATTTTAATGGGCATCCATGTCATGTTTACGCCAACCCTGATTAAATATAGTGGCTATGTATATACAACATATCCATATACATAAATGCAGGAGGTATGTGTTTTGATCTTTTCAAATAAGAGTCATTTGAATATTTTTTCATCAGCGAAAAGGAGAGGAAACAGCTTTAGAACATATGCCAACTTAGTAAAAAGAACTGGGGCTTGGTTTCATTCAAATATTAAATGTTAATATTCTTCAGCTCAGTCTTTTATTCTCTTCCTTTGTAAAACATTTGTATGTATGCATAATTGCCTGAGATACACTTTCCCCAATCTTCTGAGATTCTCAAGATTTTTTAAGTAAATAAAATTAACCTGGAAACTCACAATCAAAACCAAAGCTTAACTTTTTGGAAGTTTTAAAAACATTTAAATAATAAACAACGAGCAACTCACTCAATTTTTGGACAATAAAATAGAGACTTAGAGCAATAGGGGATTTATGGGGAACCCTAACCACCCCGACTTCATGGAGTAACACAACATAGTCAGCACTGGAGAGAGTACACATCAGTACAGCTGTAACCCTGGCTATACTAACCCTCCTAATAACCACACAGACTTTAGGTTTTCAATACCAGCCAGCTACAAGGTTGGCTAAGAAAAAGTTAAGGCTCAGAACTGACAGCTCTTTTGGCATGTATTTCTGAAGCAGTGGTAGAGCTTATGCCAACACTATTTTTGTACGAATATCAAATCTTTAAGAAAACAAAACCGCAGAGCACAAACTTCAACTGTGGTTCAGATTTCCAGAATCTGTTTATTCAAAACTCCAAAGTGGTGAAAAAGCCACTCTTCCCCACCCCCCCACTCCCCGCCTTAATACCTTGAATAGTTGTGCTATGTGTGCGTGTAAGAATCACAGTATTCTGGTCCATTAATAATATGCTACTCTATTCGCAACAGAGTAGGGCCAATGTACCCTGAGCTGAAACTTTAAAAGGTTTCATTACTTCAGAGACTTTAAGACTTTCTTAGTTACGTGTCGGGCAGTCATTTAGCCACGCATTGCCAGGCTGCCAGAAAACAGCCAACATTTTTTCCAAAGAATAACTTTCAAGGGTGGGGCAAGAGGCCGCTGCAACACCGGAAAAATATTTAGCACCACGCCCTCCGCGGAGGCCTAAACGCAGCTGAGGCTACTGCCAGATCAAGTCATTCTGGTCTGCTGTCACCGTCCCCTAAGGAATCAAAACAAGGCGACACACACACACACACACACACACACACACACACACATACACACAACGTGCACAAAAGTTTGCACGGCGTCAGGGCAGAGGGTCCCGGGCACCCTGAAAGAAGATAAAAGCCTGGCAGACCCAGGTGCCCCTTCTGAGGATGTCACCCAACTGTCCCCTGGAGTTTCCTCCCGCAGACCTGGCCGGGGTCGCCCGCCTGGGTGATCACCGCCTCCTCCCCAAGGCTGAGCATTACTCAGCAGCAATAAGGGACAGGAGGGCGCCGAGGAGCTGGGAGGGCACCTCGGCCCGCCGCTCGGGGGACAGCGGCGCCCCGGAGCCCCGGGGGCCGCGGGGGTCCCCGGGTCGCGCCCCCTCGCCGCCTCCCCGCTTACCTTGCCGTTCCTCGGGCTGCCGTTCAAGAACAGCGTGACCCGCCGCATCGCGCCGCCCGCGCCGGGTGCCGAGGGAGCCGCCACCCTCGCCCCCGGCCCGCCGCCCGCCGCGCTCCGCGCCCTCGAGACCCCTCCCGCCTCCCACCCGGACTCTCCGCCCTTCGCCACCTTCCTGGTCGGCCCCACACTCCTCACGCACGCACTCTCGGTCCCACACCCCGGGGTTGGCCGAGCCTCCTTCCCACCCCGCCCCTAGGCTCCTCAAGCCTGCTTAGCGGCCCTTCCCCCAACCGCGCCCGGACCGACGCCGAGATGAGCCAATCAACGCGCGGAGCCGGCCGGCATTCAGCCAATCAGAGACCGGCCGGGGGGTGGGCTCAGACTAACTCTAGTCGGCGGAGGGAGGAAAGAGAGGCTGAAGGCTGGCTGACGGAAAGGAGTCTCAGCGAATCAGAGCAGAAGCTGCTGGCAAAGGGCGGCTCCACGAGTTACGGAGCAGGCGCACGCCGGGGTGTAGTGAGCGCACATTTGCATAAAGAGACGGAGTCTAAGGCAAAGGCGGGACGCTGAAGTCCCATCTACCAGTCAGCAACGCGCTAGGCTTTAGCCCCTCCCACCGCCCCACCCACCGAGGTAACGGCTGGCTTGGGGATTGGCTAGTGGGGTAAACTCACCCTCCTGCGGGTGTGTGAGGATTGGCCTAGCGCTTCCTTTTCGAAGTTTGCGGCAGCCAATCCGAAAGTTAGAGGCGGGTTTTTCTGCTTAACCGAAGTGTCGCTCCGCGGGAGTCCCCCTCCACCCCCCCGGGGGCACCATTTTGCCGCTGCTGTGCCTCGCCAGGTCGTTCAGGTCATTGAGGGCTAGCCGTGCTTCTCCCGGGATATATGGCGGCCTCCGTGCCTCGTCTCGGAGCGCGACGGCGAAGTCTGGAGGGAGCGGGACGCGCGCTCGCACGCGGGCGATTCCTCCGCGCGGGGGCGGGGCCGGGGGCGGGGCCGCAGTTTGAATTTGCTGGCGGGCTGCGGCGCGCTGCGTCCGGGCGAGCGGCGGCCCGCCGGAGGCCAGCCCGGCATCCTTCCGGGACCTCCGGGGCTCGTCCGACAGCAGCGCTTGCGCGGCGGTTGTTGTGTGAGGGGTCGAGCGGGCCCCGGGCGGGAGAGGTAGGCCTGCCCTGCGGTCGGGGTCCCGGGGTGGGTGGGAGACCCCCCCGCGACTTGTCAGCTCGGTCCGCTTTGTTCAGTCGGCCGCACGGCCCGCCGTTTCTTGCGATCGGAACGCCCCGGGTTCGCGGGTTGCGTTAGAGTCCCGTCGCGTTCTTTTTTGGCGTGCAGCGGGATTGTTGTTGTTGTTGTTGTTGTTGTTTTCCCCTTATTTTATTCTCGTTTGTCCTTTGACTGCCTCGTCTTCCAGATGGCTGCGAGTTCGCAGGACAGGCCGCTCTCCGAATCCAAGGAGCGCGTCTTTAACAAATCTGGTATGTGGTGACCCATCGCCTCCCCGGCCCCCGTTAGATGGGAGGGTTGAGTGTCTCGGTTGCGTTGCTCAGCCCTGCCACGTGTTCGCCGTTTTCAGAAAATGCGTGTTTTATCTTGGGGACCGGGAAGTGTGTGACCCCTCGGAAGCTTGGAGCTGATGTGACCCCTAGTCTCTGCAACCCCGATACCTTTCAGTCGCCTTTGGACTTCTCCACGGTAACCGTTGAGCAGTTGGGAATTACACCGGAAAGCTTTGTTAAGACCCCTTCAGGTAAGAGTTCTTGGATAGCATCGAAAAGTAGCCTCAGTAAGCCCAAATGGTACGTGTCTATACCGACTGACTTATACTGGCCCTGCAGAATACCTTGTTTGGGGAGACTCCTGTGCTCAGCTCCGCAAATATAGCAGGGACCAAAGGGTCTCAATGTAGTGTTCCTAAATCAGTTGTGCGTTGGGCCTACCCCAGAAAACAGTGTATATGAACATAAGAGGAAGTTGAAAGGCAATTAAGAGTGAATAAAACTGACAGCCTGTGTGCCTCACTCAAAAATCACAAACAGAAAATTAAGATCAGAGACTGATTTTTCTCCAACCTCAGGAATGAAATTTACTGTGAAATGAGACCTGATGGAGAAGGAAATATGGGAATAAAGCAGTTATAAAGAAAGATATGAGTCTGTCTGGGCCTAGATTTTTACATTTGTTGCCTCTATTTTTGTCATGTTCCCTTTTCCATATGAAATGGGCGGTTTTGTCTTTTATAGCCAAACTTTATTATAAATACCCTTTTACCTTTAGAGTTCAAGCATACCCTAGGCATTTACATTTGTTGTGGCTATCTTTGCCTTGCCCCCTTTTCCATGTGGGGTGGACAGTTCCACCCTTTAAACATATGAATTGTAGCCTTTTTTGTTTTTAGGACTTAACTACGCAGGAAGTGTACTTTGCCATCTGTAAGTCCCCTTTGTCTTTTTGCATGGGGCTTGATGGACATTTGTCGCCCATGAAAATGTCTCATGTTCAAAGAGATAAGCTGGCTGCCAGAGCAGTGTAACACCTTCACTCAGTCAGCATTCAAAAGTTCTTCCATGTGGAAGGCATGTAGTTTGCATGTTTGTCTCTCACCCTAACTTTGGGTCCTTGCATTGACCAACACAACATTCCTCTTAGGCTAGTGGGAGCCCAACTTCCCAAGGAGATTGGCTGGCCTTTTTGGAGCAGTGTGACGTCATCTCTCCTTATATAAGCCTAAGGTTGATGTCAATCCAACCTCCAGATCAGTAAGGACATATCATCTGTTATTAAGAAAAGAGAATTTACATAGTAACCTTAAGAAAATATTTGTCAGTTTTGAATCCTAGACTGTCTTTGTTAAGTGGCTTATCAGCAGGGGTTCCTGCCATGACTTTATTGTATAAATTAGGCTGATCCAGAACTCAGAGATCTTCTTGTCTCAGTCTCCTTTGTATGATTAAAGACCATGCTGTCATCATCCTGTTCAAATATTTCATCTCAAATCCTTATTATTGTAATTCAAAATCTTTAAACAAAAATCAAGCAAAGAAACAAGAAAATTCTAAGGTGTTGGACCAGTTGTGCCAATTTAGGCTGTAACAAGCAAAGACCAGTTCATCATTTCTTGGAATTTAGTTGTTGCTAAAGTGTATCAGCAGACCCTTCCCAAAAAGAGCTGATAAACGTCTTACAGCCAGAGAGTTGTGAATTCAAGTTGATATCAATTTAATTTCTATTAGGAAGAGTGCCCTTTCTGTTGTCTGTAACTTAGTAGTTCATCTTTTGGCTTTCTTTTCACTTTCTCCTTAAACTTGTTAGAGAAGGCATGGGAAAGTGTCATCACCATTAAGCACACTGTAACCAGGTTCATGATGACTACAACCAAAAACAAAGCCAAAAGGGGGGTCCAAATACCCTCTGCCATCACCTTTTTTTTTTTAAATTTTAGGTGCATTTCTAGGACTAGCTCTATCTAGAGGTCAACCTGCCTCACAGTTTCGCCTTTCCCAGGGAACAGTGCATGTGTAATGCATTCTTGGCTAAGAAAATAGGACTTCTCAGGCTGTAAACTTAGATTCAAGTCCCACATTGGGCGCCAATATGTTATGGCAAATAAATGATATTGGGCTAAATATTGTTTATTATTAGCCCTATAATTATTATGGGGGTATTATTTAACCTAATTGCCTTATTTCATCTTGGACTGGGCAGGTAATTCCAACTGTGCTATCTCATCTCCCAACTCACATCCCATTCCATCTGCTTTAATTATTCCTAGTTGGACTACCTCCCATCCATAATTCCATAAATACTTGCTTATCCTTTATATGGGTCACTCCTTTCCACACCATTCTTGGAGTCCTTCCTCTCTCTCCTCTTGGTTCCTTTTCCACACTAACCCATTGTGGCTTCCTACTTTCCTTTCTTTTCCTGTCTCTCTCCTTCCCCAGATCCTCTCTGGCCTCCAAGCCCTCAGACCTAAGCCATACCTCTACATCCACCTTGCCCAGGTGTGTCAGCATTTTATTGATCAAGCAGAGAGGCAAAGTTTACAACGTCATTTGGGGTACATGAGTACCTACGTGTTATAGGCAGGCCTTGGTAGGAAACTACTAACATAAAATAGATAGCACCAGACCAACCCCCAGCACACTGCTAGCATCCCCGCTCTTAAGGCTGGGATTAGCCAAAGTAAATAATGCTTACTTGAACATAATGTTGCCATGAGCCTTGTCTGTCACACAGTCCGGATAGCCAGAGAGTGACCTTAGGTCTGTGCCACATACAGCACAGGTACTACATTCAGAATGATTCGGGACCTGGGCTAGATGTTGCTAGACAGGGTAATTTATGCTGCTTGTGATGGCGTGTTGTTTTAAGTTTGTAAATTGCTTTAGAGTTTTGATGACCGCAATAAGTGAAGCCACAGTGCACTGTACTTAAGCTGCACGTTATAAACAAGGAGAGGTTCTAACATCAGGCTGTTACCCCTGTCCTCTAGTAGATTGAAGATAAGGGGCACAAATGAAAAGTAAAGAAGTAGCCATGGCCTCCTGTGTTACAGGTGCTGATTTAGAAACATGTTAAATCAAGTAGCAGTCTATCCAACTCTTTGTACATGAACTACTACTTTGCCATTAGTTCTTTAGTTTTCTGTAAAGTGCTTACTTTTTTCTTCTCCTGGTGGCCCATCACCAGCATAGGACACAGTTATTGACCATTGCCAAGCTCCATTCTGATTTGTCAGAATGTTTTGTTGCAGGAAAGTCTCCATCTTCCCTTCAGAAGAGCAGGCGACGTTCCACGGTCGGTGTCCGGGGCTCTCCAGAAACAAATTGCTTGATCCGCTTCATTGCTCAGCAGCGGAACCTGAAGAAGGCTGGGAGGTCCCCACTGGCACACCTTTCTCCCTTTCAGGTACTTTTCCTCTCACGGGCTCATAAATTTTGTGAAAGAAATGTTTTCACTGTGTTCGGGTTCTGCTTTCTAGCGCTTCCTCTCTGCTTGGATCTTGGGGGAGACTGCTTTCCATGTTGTGCAGGTAACCTATGTGCTGGTACCCAGCATAACTGCTAAGATTTAGTGGATCTTTACAGAAATGACTTTCTGGAGGGGCTTTCTAGTTTGTAAAATATTTATAGAATAGGGAAAGCTCCTATTCCCCAGGTGTTTTTCTATTGTGTTTTCATAACTGCTGAGTGGGCAGAGAAAGAGAAAAAGGAACAAATGGCTTACACTCTGGTATATGTAAGCTCTTTACCTTTCAGATTTTATCGAATTAATCGTTGCTCCTAAAAGGTCAAATAGTTGAGGGCTTATGAAAGATACAGGCCCGTTTGCCACTCTGCAAAGAGCAGCCATTATGATGTTGGCCTACTCACTTTCACTTGTGCCGGGTCTACTTCATTCTTTGATTTGCAACATGGTCTCTGTGTGAGACAATTTCTTGTTCATGTAATAAAATAGAATCTTGGGGTTTTTCTCAGTCCCTTTCTGGAGATCCATAAGTCAAACTTTTTTTCTAATTTTGCTAAATGTTATTTGCTCTTCTCCCCTTAATATGTGGATATCTATACTCATGAAGCAAAACTAGTAATGAGTGAGATTACTGCCCTATTATTATGAGCCATGGCAGTGACATCAATCTATCATATCAGTTCTTGCTGGACATTCACAGAAAAGAGTATTTGTAAAAACAATAGTAGGGGCTTTTCTATGCCCACTCTGGTTCCCACATAATGAAACAAGGGACCTATTAAATTATTAATAAGCTTTAAGCACTATAGCTGAGCAGGTTCTCAGCTATTCTAGCCCAGCTATGCTGACCGGCCTACTTTTGAGCCCTGTTCCCTGATACCTGCCATCTAGTCTCGCCCTGGCTGCTTCTGTTCCATCTTTGTCCTCCTGGCAACCTTCTCCTAGATCCTCTTTCTCTCTCTCCTCCCCCTGAGATTGGAAATCCTATCTCAGCTTTCCTCTCCTGCCCAGCTATTGGCTGTTCAGCTTATTAACCAATCAGAGATGGTGGAGAGCAATTTTTACACAATACTGAAACAGGAGAGTCTTGAATAATTACGATACACATCCAGACTGCAACCAGATCTCTGGGCACAGAAATCAGCATCTGAATACACAGTGCACAAAACCATTTCCTAGTAAGTGTTTCATTAAATATCTTTGAAGCACTAAAAAGGATATACTTCACTATTTCCCATTCCTCAGTTGTTATATGTAACGAAGTGGGAAGTCTGCATCAAGCCCTTCAGAAGTTTCTAGAAATGTTTAGAAAACATGTACCCATGACTGTGTACTTGACAATTTCCTGACTGATCAGAGAGTATAATATAAAATACATTGATATTGCCTAAAATGAACCACTTTTTGGGAGATATGAATAACACAGAAAGTTAGTATTTCTCAAATGATCTGTGCATGTGGTTACTAAACCTTAAAAAGATATCCTACATTGCAAGGTAGACTGATAGATTTGTTTGGGGGTCTAAGTTTATATGCATGGACAGCAGGTTTGGTCCTCTGTTGCCATCCACTTCACTAAACCTGCAGCTTACCACCTTGGCTACACATGCTAGCCAGCAGGTCTCTAGGATTTGCCTGTCTGTGTAAAACCCCCAAGGCTGGGATTACAGACACACGCCATCTTCCCTAGCTTTTACATGGTTTGGGGAATCTGAACTTGGGTCTTCATACTTGTGCTGCAAGCTTTTTGCTTTCTAAATCAGCTCACCAGCCCCCGAATTTCTCTACTTAGAGATTTTATTTTGAAAAGTAAAAGCATGTTTGTGCACCATGTATATGTAGTGCCCACAAAGGTGGGAAAAGGGCATCAAATCACCTGACAGAGTTGCAGGTTCTGCCGCCTGAGTGCTAGGAACTGAGCCTAGAGCCTCTGCAAGGGCAGCCAGTGCTGAGCCATCTCTCTAGCCCCCAATCCCCAGCTTCTTAACAAATACTCTGTGACTGTTTGCTTCTGGGTTGCATGTTCACTTCCCACAGTGGACAGTGCAAAATTAGCCCTCTTCCTTCACATCCTACCCATTCTCACTCGCTTCCCGGTAGTTTGGTTATATCAGTTTTCACCTGATTGTATTATTTTGCTCCTATGTGCTGTTCTTAGCTGGGTTCTCTTTTGCATTTAGCTTGCCCCCTTTTCTTTGGGTCACCAGATCACTCTATCCTTGTTCTCTGTATTAGTTACTTTTTGTTGCTATCTTAAATACTATGATCAAGGCAGCTTAAGGAAAAACCAAGTTTATTTTAGCTTATGATTCCAGAGGGAGAGTCCATAATGGGGGAGGCACAGCAGCTGAGAGATTATATCTTTATTCATATGTAGAAGATGAAGGCAGACATGAAACTGGGCAAGGCTATAAGCTCTCAAAGCTGCTTCCTCTCCTGTACATCCTCCAGCAAGGTTCCATAACTTCCCCGAACAGTGCCACCAAATGGGGACCAAGTTCAAATACCTAAGCCAATGGAGAACATTTCCCATTTAAACCACCGCATTCCTTTTCAGTGCCCCATTTCTGTCTACTTTGACTCACTCCATTTCTCTCCTTTCCATTCTTTCTTTTCTTCAGAGACACTGAGACAGGGTCTGAATAACTGGGTCTCCTACCTCAGACTCCCGGTTGCTGTGATTACAGGCATGTGCCAGCAATCCTCTTGCTATTGCCAGCCACTTTGACCTTGCTTGGACTTCCAGTGTTTTTGGCTATGTTTGATATCATTGAGACACTTAATCGTTTGGTTCATAGGACTGCATGTTGACCCAGTTTCCTTCCAATGTCATTGGTTATTTCTATTTGATTTGCTGATTCCTCTCAGTTTTTCCCTCAGAAATGCTGCCATGCCTAGATCTCTTTACTGCTCTTTACATTGAGCACCATCTATGTGCTGATGACTCTAAAATGTCTCCAGCCCAGAGATCCTTAACGTTCCAGAACTGGATAGCAGCTGCCTGTGTAGTCACTCTGAGTTGAGTGGTGTTTCAAGCATATTGTAGCTGAATTAGTTACTTTTCTCTTTGCTGTCACAAAACACGTGAGAAAGCTGAAGAGTATTCTAGTTCAGGGTTTCAGAGCAATCCATGGTGATGCAAATGGCATAGTGGAGGTAGCTTGAGGTCACGTGGTATCCACAGTCAGGAAACAAGAGAATGCCAGTGATCCACTCCCTTTCCCTTGGTTTAGTCTGGGCCACTGCGTGTGAGGTGGTACAACCCACATTGAAGGTGAGTCTTCCTTCTACTGTAAAAATAACCTCACAGACACTCAGAAGTTTGTCTTCTCCGTGGTTCTAGTCCTGGCAAGTTGACAATATCACCCATCATACTAGCTAAGGCGAAACAATAGATTCATATTTTTCAGAACCTAATCCAGCCCACTCAGGCCAAATACCTTAGTCTTCTGTTGTCCTTTCTTCCTTAGGGTGGCCATCTGGCTCCTTGAGGCTGCATTTCAAAGCCTATTTGAAAACTTTCATGTCCTTCCTGTCAGGGTCTTCAACTGGTCTCATTTCCTTTTCCCCACTCCACCCACTATTACAGAAATCAAAGAGAGGTATTTTGGAATGAATCACAGCATTGCCTCTGCTGCTTTAATACTCCCGTGTTTCCTGTTGAAACTTACCTACTTTTTTGAAGTCTCTATCTTTGTTCCCCTGGCCTGAGCCCTATCAGGACGCCTGTTGCCTCATCCCCACCCACCTTCAGTCAAAAACCCAAGGCTTTTGCTCCTGTTTTTGCTTTATGCCTTGTTCCCCTTGTATCAAACCACTTCTCATTGTGGTTTCAATTCAAATGCCACTTGAATCTTTCTTTACTAATAGCCAAAGCAACATTGGTGTTTTCTGTGTAACTTTTTTTTTTTTGGTCCAGTGTTTTGTTTTGTTTTTAATTTTTGGGGGGACAGGGTTACTCTGTATAGCCTTGGCTGTCCTGGGCTCACTTTGTAGACCAGGTTGGCCTTGAACTCACAGAGATCTGCCTGCCTCTGCCTCCCAGAGTGTTGTGATTACAGGCATGCTCCACTGGGCCTGACTTTTTCTGTAACATCTTAGTATGTCTCCCTCTGGGATATCCTTGAGCATCTGGAACAGTTTCTGTACATAGAAGGAATATAACTTACCAACACAGTTCATGGGACAAAATATCACAGAGGCTTTCATTACTTTGTTCATGAACATTGCTCTCTTCCTGTATCAGAAACAGGTTTAATCAGGGAAACTTAGTTTAATCATTTCCAGTGTTCTGAGTTCCTGGGATAGTAAACCAGCCCTGACATTCAAAATGCACACTGAAAATAACTTGTGTGGCTATAAGAGAATCTTTGTCACATAGATGTGTTGCCTACAAGCCTGTTGGTGATATTATATGCTGCTTATGTCATAAAGGTTCACATCGTCAAGTACATGTCAGTTTAAATGCTCTATTATTATGTAGTAGACAGTTTGTCTTATGAATGTGCTTAACTGAAGGCAGAATCAGATAAAAGCAGATCATCAAACATGGATGCTTTTAACAACTTTTTCTCCGTGTTATCGTAAAGAGAGGTAGTTTGGCTTGTTTATTGGTTTGATTTGGTGTGATGTGGTGTGGTTTGTTTCTTTGCTTTTGCCCACTGGTTGGGATGTTAAAATTGCTGCAGGTTCCTTATTAGGGGAAATCTTAGTGAGCCAAGATAAAAGAAAGCACCTGGATAAAGTACTTGATCAGTAGTTTATTTTTATATGAGCAGAACTTTACAATTTTATGTCATTTATTTTTATCTGGTAGTGTAGATTAGTTTCATCTCTCTTTGTGTGGACCCTCATGGTCAGGTTTCTAAGAGCTCCTGGGATTGTGCGTCTCTGTTTGTTTGGAAATGAATGGTTGGCTTTCAGCCCTGAGGAAGCAAGTATCCTCCAGATCTTATAGAACTAGGAAGTTAGCCAGGAAGAGGCAGGAGCGATGGGAAAATGGTGTGGAACTGGTAGGAGACATCCTTGTCTTGTTCTGGCCTCCCAGAGTGGAGGTCATCGAGGCGCGGAGGACAGTGCACTGGAGGCAGTGCGCTGATAAAGCTGATAGCTTTCTTTGGATACTTTCCGTGTAGCCTTTGTCAGAATTTCGGATAGAGGGGTTCTGCCTTGCTCTCCAGCTCTGAGGTTGGTCTCTCACACATGTTCATTCTGAACTCCTTTCTCATTCCCTTTCATAATATTTTATTGACGTGGTCTCGGGATGGTTGCCAAGGTTCTTCTTAAGCCCTTTAGAAGCCTTTTCAAAGTGACTTTGACTCCCCAGTTAGTCTAGAACCTCTATAAAAACACTTCCTACTCTTTTAGGTTTCTGTTAGCCTGCTCATTGTAGCCAGAATATCAGGTATACACATCTATGTATAGCCATTAACTAATCTTCTTTGCTTAGGTTTTTAAAAACAGGAATAGGAGCACCAACATGGTGACACACCAAATATTCAGACAGGATATATGCAATTCTGAAGAAAAGAGGCTTTGTCACACTTGTCTTCATAAGCTTTTTGCATGCTTTGTTTTGTTGTCGATAATGACAGGCAATAAGAAGCTGGTTTTTAAGTTTCTGTGCTCTACATTCACAGGATAGCCCAGGACTATATCGGAATGGCAGTGCTTTAAGAAAACGAATAGCTGCTTTTCGGTCAGCTTTTTACTCCATAGAGGAAACTGAGAAGATGACTACTGGTCCCGCGGCCTCAAAGGCAGATGGAACGCCTCAGACCTCAAATCTGAGTGAGTGGAAGGGACTCCCAAGATTGACTTCTGTGTTTATAAAGATAAGCTTCTAGGATAAGAAAAAGATTTGTTTCCACAATGTGAAAGCAATGTTTTCAGAGCACAATTATTTCTATAAATGGAGAATAATATCTAAAATATGCAATATTTCACACAGAAATCTGTATTTCTGGTTTTAGGGCTTTGTTTTGGTTGGTTGGTTGGTAGTTGGCGTGTAGTTTTATCTGCTGTATTTTGGCTGGGCTTGAAAATCAAGCCCAGGGCCACAAATGTCTTAAACAAGTGCTTTATAACTAAAGTGCTTTAACACACTCAAACTGTATTTTCTGTTGAAAAACCTAGACCTTTATTTCCATAGTTAAAATTATTTTGAATTTTAAAAGGCCAGAATCAATTAGCTTGGGTCAGGCTTTGAATATAGGGCTTGTGGCAAAATTAGATATGTGTTGTTTTTTGTAGAATTATTGTTAACTTTGCAAAAACAAATGTGAATGACAAATATCCAATCCTGATGTTAATCATAAATTTGTCCAGTCTGATTAATGTCTTAATAGTCAGCTGTATTCTTTATTGTGTCCATTTAATTCATATATATATGGTTATTTTTTAGTCATTTCTGGCTTTTAGTCAAAGTACTTTAACCACCAGAACTTGACAAAATATTGACCCTCCTGCACTCCTGTTTTTCTGGTTCTTTACACAGTAGTTACCTAGTAGAGTCCAGACCATCTGATCCACTCTGCAGGATCCATTGAGATATCCTGTTTTGTAGTTCGTAACTTATCTATTATGTAAATTTCTGTCTAGGTTTTCAATGTTTTTTGTAATTACCATGACACTGGAATCCTTTTGTATCTAGAAATAACTCAATATGTTGCAGGTGTGTTATCTATTATTTTGGGGGTTTTCCCACACACACACAAAAATCAAGTGCAGTCAGATTAGAACACTGTTAGAATATAACTGTGTCTTTCAGGTTTTGCTAGCATGTGGTTTGCAGGCCAGATGCACCAAGGGTAGGGTTCTCTAGAGAAACAGAGCCGATGGAATCATAGCTTGGGGATTTGTTAGACTGGCAGCATGCTATGGGCTGCATAATTGAGCAGTTGCTGGCTGTGCCCTGGAGCAGTTAAGAGCCTAGTGGCTGCTCAGTCCATAAGGCTGCAGGCCTTATCAGTACCAATGTTCAACTGAGGCCCTAGAGGGTTCTTAGAGGATACACTCGTTTCTAGCCCAAGTTGGGAAGCTGAGGAAGTGGTACTCATGGCACTTGCAAAGAATACATCAACCCAGTAGCTGCAGTTAGCAGTGAGGGTGAAGAGGGGCAGGTGAAAAGCAGCATCGCTTTCTCCTCAGCCCTGCCTGGGTCTCGTGCATCTCTGGCTGGTCCACTGTTTGCTTTATAGACTAGACTGGCCCTGAACTTTCTGGTCTCTTACCTCATCTTCCCTTTGCTGCCACTGCATGTCTGTGCCACCACACTGGCCTTTCAGTTTCCCTTTGCAAGTGGAATCGGGTAGCAGAATTTTGTTTTCATTGATGACCTAAATACAAACGCTAAATTGCCATTGTGTTATTATGGATGATATTTTTAAATGAATAATGTAAGAGAAAGTATGTATTCCCGTGTCATTTTGTTTCTATTTTTGTTTTGTGCATATAGCCAAAAAAGAAGGTCTTGTTGAATATCAGCAGTCTGGATTCCCTGCAATCTCATCTTCAAAGCGACGGAGAATATCCTCCCAGGACAGCCCAGATGACCAACTCAGTGATGCCAAAGGGAAAGTGGCACATGCGCAGGTGTGCGCTGACCAAGCATGTGCTGGGGCCGCATCTGCAGATCTTGCTGAGGTGACTGTTTTCCACACAGAAGTGGAGCTGTGGCTTTCTGCATAGGCAGTTTGAAGACTGCCAGGACCCAAGCTATTAGTTCCTAGTCCTGCCATATTGTTGCTGTGATCCTTAAAGGAGTATGTGTATCCGTGTTTCCTGTGTATATTGTGTGATTCATGTTGTTCATTGGTTTAGAACATTTGAGAAGATAAATTGCATTTGACTATTTCCATGACAGGGTAAAGCTCAAGGGTTTTTTGCATGAGGTGTTATATATGGTGATGGTTCCACTGTAGGTCTGGGTTGTGCCCAGAGATAGCTTTTTGTCCATCCAGGGGCTCACAGGTTACAGACTACTTGGATATCAACTGCAGTATCAGTTCCAAATACTGGGGGTGCCTGCCTGCCCAGGTCTGTCCGTCCACCCTGCATTTCCCTTGCCTACCAAGACTGCCTTAGACTGCCGGGGAAGCATGCTCTTCTGGCAGCCCATCTTTGCTCCTCTACTTGTTTCAAGTAGCATTAGGAATTTTTGTGGATTGTGACAACCTAAAGTCTGTCAAAATTCTGGAAAGGCAGAAGCGTACATGAATCTCATTAAAGCAAGACAAAGGCTGCTACTGGAATTGGTGACCTTTACGCAGCTGTGGGTGCACAGCCAGTCACATGACCCTTGCTTTCTTTTTGCTGTCTATCTTCATTTGGTGATCGGAGGGCTTTTCATTTATTCCCGAGAGGACGCAGCTGACACCATTGCAGCTGCAATAGTTTACCGTTTGGGGGTAAGGGAGAGAGAAGAAGTGGTATGGGTATACATGTGGCCGTCACAAGACGACCCTCAGGAATTGGTTCTTCTACTTTGGGTTCTAAGGACTGAACTTAGTCATCAGGCTTGCAAAACAAATGCTTTTACCTGCTGAGCCATCTTGCCAGCCCAATGGCTGGAATTTAGTCTGTGCCTTCTCTGCTGCTCAGATCCAGTATATGTCTGACCTAGTATGTGTTTGCTAGTCACTACAGATTCCGTAGTTTCAGTGAGTACGATGGAGTATCCTGGGTGCATGTGGAGGTCAGAGGACAGTTTATGAGCATCAGTTCTTTCCGTCTACCGTGTAGGTTCTAGGGATTGCACTCAGGTCATTAATTTGTCTAAGACATCTAGCCCACCTAATTGTTTGTGATGGCAATTAAAAAAAAAAACAAAAAAAAACAAAGGACAATCATAGCACAATGATCCCAAAACACATCCACAATCCCTAGAACACAAGAGAACTGCTTGTATTGCAGACCAGATTATGGTCCCAGCTCCCTTTGCTTTTTTCAAGCTAATTTAAAGCGGTGTTTGGCAGGAGCAATTGTTTCCTTCCAGGACTTTGAAGCATTGGACATGAGTTGCAAAGAAAAATGATTCTGAATTAATGTAGATATGCTTTTGAGAATTTACTCTTTAGAAGACAGCATATTGCACAGCTCTGTAGGCTTTAATAGGCAACAAAAATGAATTACATAAACTTTTCTTCAGGATTGGAAATTGTTCTGTGGAATGTTTAGGTTGTAGTTGTGATGGGAACTCTGTTGCTAGTTCCCTGTGTACTTTGCCCTTGCTGGTGAATAAGGAGACCAGTTGAACAACAGATTTTTAGTCATCCGCAATGCTTGTTCAAATCTCCATATATATATAATACTGCTATAATACTGATATAATCAGCAGTACTGTTAGTAATAAATGTGCTTTTGTTCTTTCATCTTTTCTCCCAGAAGTCATCTGACATTGGTTCAGCTCAGCCTGGATGTATGGTTGCTCCCCTTCCACTTCTAGAGCTTATGGAGGCTTCACATGGTGAGTATATATTTTCTTTATTGCAAACATAGGTTGCCCCATTTGAATGTGTCTAAAAGCTGAAATAAGTGACAACGGTTCTTGTGTTACAGGGATTGGAGAAGTGTTTTGGGATCATTGTACTGTGACTGTCCTTTATTATTTTTTACTCTCACGAAGAATCACATGGGCTATATGGCTTAGAGAAGGTGCCTGATGCTAAGCTGAGTTCAATCTCTAGAACCTACCCGGTAGACAGAAAGAACTGATGCACATGAGCTCTGCTGTGACCTCCACGTGCACTCCATGCGCAAGCCCATGCACACTCATATCATAAACACAACAAATCAATAACCATTTTTTAAATTTTAAAATAAAATTAGGGATGCATTTCCAAACTGATAGAATAATGGTATGATAATAATAAAATAATATGTATTACTATGATACTACGATACACACAGGGTGAGCACGGCATGGTGGTACATGCCTCTAAACCCCTGCACTCAGGGGCCTGAAGCAGAAGAGAGTTTCAGGCTAGCATGGGAAACAGGGAGACCTTGTTTTAGTAGGGCAGAGATGGGAGGGATAAAGGTACTAGCAAGCATATTTTGTTAGAAATACACAGTATACGATCTGTGGGGGGTGATGGTTTGGTATTTTTTTGAGACAGTTTTGTGTAGACTGGGTTGGCTTTCAACTCAACGTAGCGTCTAGCCTCTGCCTCATAAGTATTGTGACAGCAGGTATGGGCCTCACCCTGGCTTAGTCCACTAAGGTTTCAAGTAACTGTTGAGATGGCTTGATTTACATCTACTGTTTTGTCAGATGCTTTTGTTTGTTTTATTCATGTTTGTTTAAGAATTTGGGTTTTGCTTTTTTTTTTTTTTTTTTAACAAGGGGAAAAGGTTTATTTTTGCTCACTGTTTTGTAGAGTGTAAGCCAAGACCAAGAAGCCCCATTGCTTTGGGCTTCTGATGATAACAGCATGTTCCAGTATAAATATCTGGCAGAAAAATGTATTCACATGAGCCAGAAAGTAGGGACTTAAGAGTCAGCTCCTCTAATACCCTTCAAAAGGGTTCCCCCATTTCCTAAAGATCATCAGACCCTACTTCTGAAAGGTAAAGCCACCTTTAACAAAAGTACCACCCTAGAACTAGGCTTTTGACATGGGGAACTTTAGGGACATTCACCCAAACTATAACAGGGCATATAGTGTCAATATATTCCAAGGTGTGTGTGTGTGTGTGTGTGTGTGTGTGTGTGTGTGTGTGTGTGTGCGCGCGCGCGCGCGCGCAGGACTATGGACACATATACCATGTAGTAGATTTAGAGTTATCAAACAATCTAATACATTTATACAGAAATGCATAGTATTTGATAACTTTTAAGCTGCACCTCATTCTCTCTTGTTCTCTTGCTCTGGGATTCCAGCAAACGTTCTTCTCAGTCCTTTGAGTACTCATATGGACAGCTGTACATAAAACACAAAGGTTTACACACCTGTGGCCTGATGGCCTTCCTTCCTTTCTGTGACTTTTGTAGCCCTTTGCCAGTAGATGAACATGCACATTAACTTGGTTGTGACCCCATGCGTGTTATCATTTTTGCTTTAAACCATCAAATGTTTCATGTAAGTTAAGAGGAAATAGCTTTTTATAGTTACTAATCATATACATCTATTTCTATTCCATTTATTCTCTCACTTTTTGGTTTTGTTTTGTTTATATTAATTCTTAATCAAATTTCTCTCTGGAGCTTTCCCTTCAGCTTAAAAATGAACTTCTTTTGCCTTTCTTGTAGTGAATATCTACTTCGGATTTTATTTTGATACTAAGGTGATGGGTGGATTTTTTTGCACAGATAAGGCACAAGGTCAGGTTATGTGTTTGTCACCTAGGTAAAATAAGGTACTGCCACCTTCTTGAGCATTCTCTGCCCTGTTCTCAAGAGGCTTAGTGTCATTTTACTTGAGTCCCCACTCTACAATCCAGCTATCATCATATCAAGGGCCAGTGTTCCTTTGAGCACCCCATTGATTCTACTGAGAAGAGCTGGGATGACCAGGGGAAAAAGGGATGCCATGATCGATCGGGCTTTGCTAATGTAGTCTAGTGTTTCAAACTGCCTGGTTATTTGATGAACCTGCTCGTAGGTCAGATGGGTTAGAAAGTCCTTTGTTAGGACTGGGGAAGATGGCTCAGCCTTTAAGAGTGCCTGCTGATCTTCCTGAGGCTTCAGGGGTTCCTTGCACCCATATTGGGTAGGTTCCTGTAACTTGAGTTTCAGAGAGATCTGGCACTTATGGGCATTGGCAGGCCCCTACACATATGTGTTCTTATGTCTAGTTTAAATAACGTTTTCAAGAAGAAGCCTATATAAATCCACCTGCTGCCTTCCTTGGCTTCCCCACTTCTTGCATCTTGACCCTCTGGCTAAAAGTTCTGTCAAGTAGCTCTCTGCTGTGGTGCTACTGAAAGTCTGGCATTCTGAAGGCCTTGCTGTCCTCCATGACAAGTGGCTCAGAACTGCTACTTAGTCACTTCACACCAACACTTCCCCTTAGCAATCATGCTTCAGCACACATCCACCTGCTGATCATCATTTAACAGTAGCAAAATTATAGTTATGAAGTAGCAACAAAAATAATTTTATGGTTATTAGAGGGCATTAGGAAGGTTGACAACCACTGATGTCGATGGTTAGAACATGTTTCATACAGCACAAATGATGTCTTGGTATGTGTGCCATACAGGGTTTTTCCTTTGTGGTCAGATGGTGTCTGCATCCCTGGTGGGTACAGTTTGGATCTAAGTGGACTGTCTGCGTTTACCAATGTGGAGGCTGCACATTCGACAGGGCAGCTTCTGTGCAGGCGGATGCTTTCTCCTCCCCTCATCTCCTCTCGCTTCTACTGTGTTTACATATTGGAATGCCTCCATCTTGAGTAGAAAAATAGCTTATCATCAGGGGTTGGCTCAGGTTAGTTTTATGTTGCAAGTAATAGGTCCATTAACAGTGCAAGGCTTATTCCCCAACTTTTTTCGCACCCTCTGACGCAGATTTCTGTGGGAGCAAAACGTCTTATCTTCACTTGTGATAGACATGTACTAAAATGTGTGGCCAGTACTACTTTGTCTCTGCTCATGTCCAGATGAAGTCTCTGAGCAGGGAGTGTTAGGACTGAACTTCTTCCTTTTTCATCTGTGTGGCTAGGGTTTGGCCCTAGCATATGTTAGATAAGCACTCTGCCACTATGCTCAACTGCTAGCACTTGGTTCTGTGAAACAGGGTCTCACTGTGTAGCCTCAGCTGCCTTAAATTGTCCATCCTTCTCTCTCTGTCTCCTGAGCGCCAGACTTCCTGACAGGATTTTTAAATACTGTGTTACAGTCTTTGTGAGTGTGATGACTGTCTTGTACCTAGAAGAAGCAGATTGCTATGTTCTCCTCTCTTATTCTCCTTGGAGGACTTGGAGTGGCTGACTGTGTAGAGGGCACAAAACCAGCTAATCCTGTTCCACTTGACACAGCTGCCGCGCAACCAAGCTCAAGCACAGCCCCTGCCACCAGGTCTCCAGTGACTCCTGTGTGCAGGAGCAGCAACCCCTCAGCTAAGACTTTTGTGCTTCGTTCTGTGTTGAAGAAACCTGGTAAGCTGTTCTCAGAGAACAGAAAGGTAAGAGCTACTTTTCCTACTTTTCCTAAAGAAGTGCAGAATCATTTTGTTTACCTCAGACCAGTTATAGAGTCATATGTCACACTGGTGTACAGGGAATTGCGTTACTCACTTTTTTCCTTTCCTTTTTTTTTTTTCTTTAAACTCATGCTACTATTCTGAGGTTGGTTCTATTTTCATGTAATATTATATTAGTATTCAGAATTCAATATAGGTGGACTATATAAGTCTAAAAGTTCATACAAACTATATTTAACTGGATTGCCAGATGCGTTTGTGATAAATGCCTGAGTCTGACCTATCCATTCCAAACATTTGGCTCTAACCCCTCTTTTCTACCAGCTATCTTTCTGTGAGTGCAGTAACCTAAGACAAGAGGGTGGTGCTGGGATCTGGGTGGCCTTTTAGAGTGATTCTGTCAGTACCTTTGGCACATGTACAGTAATAGTGCATTGTTGTCCATCTTCACCCCTTCTATCGAATGGAATGTGTGTTTCCCTGAAGAGAGACCTAACTTGGTGATTAGGTGCTTATTAGGAGGCTTATTTGGGGCAGAACTGTTCAGAGCAGTTCTTGGGGTCGTTATAGGATGGAATGTGAGCAGGGCTCAAAACCACAGGCTGGGCAGGGGCTCTGGGTGAGGCTGAAGTATCGCTGGTGATTAACAAGGACTTTGATCACCTGCAGGCCTGCCTCTCTTCTGCCAGGCTTGTTCCTTCTGTCTGTGGATTTATACCATCCCTTTATATGTGCCCTCTCTTATCTTTTGGATAAACACAGACAGGCAGGCCTTCTTTGTTCCTCAAGAATATAGTAATTTGGGCAGGAAATTCCATGCTTATTAAAAGTGCTATTCTCATGTTTATGGCCAAACTCCCTCTTGATATCATTTACCTTGTGTTCTTTTTATGTTAGTGCAGTTCTCATGCTGTGGCCTGTGAGGTCTGCCTGATCTGTCACCTGATGAAATACACTATAAGTTTATCCACCTGCATCTTCTTAAGATCAAAAGGGGATGATTTTAACCCATACTCAGGGATTTCTGTTCTTGAGTTTTGGCCTACAATAATTTATTAAAAGCTGGAAGCTGGAGGCTGGAGAGATGGCTTGACAGTTAAAAGCATGTCCTATTCTAACAGAGGACCCAGGTCCAGTCCTCAGCATACATGTAGCAGCTCATATCTATCTCTGATGCCAGCTCCAGGGGATCCGATGACCTCTTCTGGCTCACAGACAGCTGACGTACACATATATACATGCAGGCAAAACATTCATAAACTTAAAATAAAAATAAATATTAAAAAAATATAAGAGAACCCAGTTTTTCCTTGGGCCCTTTTCAGTATCCTGTTTTAAGCCAAAACAATTAAGAAAATAAACCTACTCTACAGAAAACTTTTCAGCAGTCCCATTTTTTCTTTTGGTGACTTTTCCTGTTATGAAGGAAATAAAATCTTTGGTCATTGTTTTGATTAGGAATATAACCTCTGTGATAATGGGGCTCATCTGAACCCAGATCCTTCAAACCACTACAGAGGACAAGGAACAGGTGGGCTATTCATATTTATTTTTAAACTGTAGGTATTGTTTTCCATCTAGAACTCAACAGTGCATCAGGTTTTTGACAATTTGCTCATGCTTTACTGCTTCTGAGATGGAGAGCAGTGGGGAAGGAAAGATGTCTTTGGAGAGCCTTATAACTGATCTTGGGATGAGGGTGTGGCTCAGTGACAGGTGGACTGCCTGACATGGATGAGGTCCTGGCTTTAATCCCCAGCACCGCACATACACAAAAAGAGGTGATCTCTTTTGCCTTTCATGTTTTACTTAATGGCAGAACTTGGAAAGAACTTCAGATGCTCCCATTTACTAACTCTTTAAATAATTATAACTTGTTTGAAAATCAGTACTGTTTTAGTTGAAAGTATGGTTTTCTTCCATTTAAATATTCTCTACAAATTGTGTTATATAAATAGCAAAGCAGCTGAATTTTTAACATACCCTCATTTATTGTCGATAGGTGAGGAAAACTGTAAGATACCAGACTGTCAGAATCTAAGGAAGAGGAAAAGAGTTACTTTCGGAGAAGATTTAAGCCCTGAAGTGTTTGATGAATCCTTACCACCCAACACACCATTGTGTAAAGGAGGAACACCTGCCCATCAAAGGAACAGAAATGCTCTCAGTCCCCTGCAGTCACCGTTTGATGAGCAGTTCCTTCAGCCAAACTTTGATGACAGGGAAGAGAATCTTGTAAGTGTGGAAAATCATAGGAAAAATCTTCCTTCTGTTTCTGTCAGGCTTCACAATTTTTTTGCATAAAGATTATGATTTGAAATTATGTGGTAGAGCAAAGGACATTTTAAAGAGATTTAAAAATCTCTTTTAAAAAGATTTTTCCCAAATCTTAGAATTGAAATAATGTATTAGTAAGATTTAAAAAACAAACAAACACATAGTATTAGACTCATTTTAGTAAAGTTTCAATCAGATTAACAAAAAAATAAAAAAAAAAAAAAAAGGAAGAAAAATGACCAATTTCAGGAAGGACAGGTAGCATTACTGTATTCTAACTAGTTTTCAAGAACAGTAGGGCCTTATCAGTAACTGTCATTTTAGCAGCTCAGAGTAGCCAGGTACAATCTTTGAAACACAAAGAACATCAACCTTCAGTCAGGAAGGAGTGCATTGTCTCAATAGCCTGTGTTAGAGAAATTTAAATTGTCAATAAAACTTTCCCGAAAAGTAATCACTTTGTTAAGGAATTCTGTCACATAGTTAAGCAAATTATAATATTGATTTTTTTTACACTTTACTTTTCCAAATAAAACAGAAAGGCTATGTTATAATCTTAGTCCATGAAGAAAAAGTATTTTGTGAACATCAGCATTTCTGATTAAATATCAAAAGAATGTGGAAATTTCTTCAAATTGTAATTTTTTTCTAAGAATGAATGATAGTTGCTATCTTTTAGGCAATTTGAAGACTTATTTATTTTGCTATATTACCATAAATTTCATTGAAAAATATTGTAATGTTAGATGGTGTTTCTTTGTTTTTTTATTTTATTTTTTTGTCTGGATTTTTTTGAAACAGGGTTTCTCTGTATAAGAGCCCTGGCTGTCCTGGACTTGCTTTGTAGACCAAGCGGGCTCTGAACACACAGAGATCCTCCTGCCTCTGCCCTCTGCCCTCTACCCTCTGCCCTCTGCCCTCTGCCCTCTACCCTCTACCTCCTCTCGAGTGCTGGAATTAAGGGTGTGTGCCACCACACCCAGCTAGATGATGTTTCTTAATAATTTTCTTTAATTTGCTTTGTAGAAGTTGCACAGTGAGATTTTAAATAAACCCAGAAGTGGTGTCAGGATTAATATGACCCCTTACGTGGGGTAGTGGCGGTTGGCAGATGTGTTTGTGTCATGAAAATGACCATTCAGTGTTACAAAGTCATCTTTGTTTTGCCTAAACCTTTCATTGTCTATTCATTTTTCTTTTTATCTTCATACCTCCTACTGGAATAAGGTTTTGTTTTTCTTGGAAGCACGTCGTTTACATATCACTGAACTTAACGTCATCTAATCTGTACTTTTTTCCCTTTGCATTTGTTTAGGAAAACATAGAACCATCTCAGGTATCATTTGCAATTCTGAGTCCTAGTAAATCTTCATTCTCTGAGACTCCAGGTACCATCTGTGTTTACATTTTGTTGAAGTGTGACGTGTGTGTGTGTGTGTGTGTGTGTGTGTGTGTGTGTGCGCGCACACTCACAGGGTGGTGGAAAGAGGACGTTATCTGTCCTGTGCTGTCAGTCTCTCCCTTTGCTCCTTTGAGACAGGATCTGTTACTGATTCTGAAGCTAGGCTCATGACCAGCAAGCCCCAGTAATCCTCCTGTCTCTGCTCCCCCAGAGCATTGAGATTAGAGGCATGCACACAGCCTTGCCTAGCTTCCACTTTGCTTTTTGAGACAGGATTTGTCATTAGTATAGAGCTTGCTCATTAGGCTAAGATGGTTGTCTGGCAAACTCTAGGAATCTGCTTATCTCTGCCTCCCAGCACTGACTCTTATATTTTTTTATTTTTTACTTTAGATTTATTTATTCTATATATATGTGCCTGTGTTTATGTATGTATACCACATGCATGCTGTATCTGCAGGGGTCAGAGGATGACAGACCCCCCTGGGCAGGCAGTTCTAAGTCCTCCAGTGTGGATGCTGAGAACTGAACTTGGGTCTTCTTAATTGCTGAGCGTCTCTCCACTACCAATACCTGCCTGTTTTATGTGCGTTCTGGGGATCAAGCTCAGTTCCACATGCTCAACTGAGCACTTTACAACTGAGCTACCTCCCTGGCCCCTTAATTCTTGTTTTGCGCACATAAAGCTTGATCTCTTAATTCTTACATTTTTATATGTGCTACAACAATATGTTCCTGATTTTAAGGAAACCAAATACTGTGTGTGGGAAATTACCACTTCTTTCTATTGCAAGTCTCATACTTCATAATCACCCACATTTAATTTCAGTTGATTTTTTTTCTTTGCTTCACGTTGATATACACAGTGCTGTTGATCTTTTAGCCTGTTAAGGATCAATAATAGAGTTCTATCTATATTTGCGAAACTGACATAATTTGGATTGTAAGGACCACTCCTAAATGGCTACAAGTTTTACCTGCCGTTAACATGGTGTTTTCAGTGCATATACTTTCCATGTATGTTTTTTATGATCATGATAAGACAAAGATTTTTTTTTCCTGATCATTCTGACCGGTCTTGGCTGACAACGCCATGGTATGAGTACTTGGATTATGAACCTCTGTTTGTGTGCTTCCCTCTGAGATCCTTTGATGACTTCCTATCGGTGCAGCATGTGTTTGTGAGCATAGAATCTAAAGCTGTAAACTATTGCATTACAGTAATCTGTCTTGTTCTAAGTTCTGAACATATTACACTGCCTTTTATTTGTGCCGTTGAAAAATATCAGACATTGGGCTGGAGAGAGGTTGGGAGTACTGATTGCTCTTCCAGACATCCTGAGTTCAATTCCCAGCAACTACATGGTGGTTCACAACCATCTACAATAAGATCTGGTGCCTTCTTCTGGCAGGCAGGTGTACATGCAGGGAGAGCATTGTATACATAATAAATAAATCTTAAAAAAAAAGAAAATCAGACGTATCTAAGGTACAGTTAAGTGTTTCCTTAGTGCTTATCCTCTTACTGCACCATCCTGTTGTGAAGTCTTCTAAACATTGTTCTGGATCTTAAGATTCATTGCCATTGTTAGGTGTTTGTGTCTAAATATACTTAAAAGCACCAGTGACTTAAAAAGCACTATGCAGTTCTTTAACCATTTAATTTGTATTAGTTGTGTGCTAGCAGCCTAATCTTTCTTGTTTCTTGATGTTAGGCACTGACACTTGCAGTTCTTTAAATAACCATGAGGAAATAACCTGTAGTGTTGGTAGACCCAAACGGACTTCTCTCAGAATAAAGGTAAATATTTGCATTAAATCTTTCATGGTCGTGGCAGTGGAGAAAATCCTGATTTGATGAATGCTGTTAGGAATTAGTACTTTGTCATACTTGTATGTAACCTGAGTTGTGTCTTGCTGGTTTAAGCTTAATCCTACCAGAAGAAAATCCACTAAAATAAAAGCTTCCCTTCGGAATTGTATTACTATGGAAGGCAAGCTACTTGTTATTTTGAGATCCGTATGACTATGTAAATGTGGAAAAGATAGGCATATAATTAAGGGCCCAAAAGTAACAAAGTACCTACCTTCATTTTTTTGTTTGTTTGTTTGTTTTTACAAGACAGGGTTTCTCTATGTAGCCTGGGTTGTCTGGAACCCTGTAGATCAGACTGGCCAATAACTCACAGAGCTATCCACCTGTCTATGCCTCCTGAGTGCTAGGATTAAAAAAGGCACGCACCATCACAGCCCAGCTAGTATGTGCTTTCTTAAACCATATTTTAAGAGAGTTTTCTACAGTGGCATTGAACTGATGTTATATTCCATTTGTTTTGTTCATTAAGTTACATGTGATTGGATTTTTGTTTATAGCTTTTTATATCAACATACTTATGCTATTATTGGGTGTTTACCTGTCTGATTGGATGAAAATCCTGTATTCTATCGTAATTTACAGTTCAAGGCTTGTTACAAGGTAACAGCAGTTAAGTAAACACTTGACGAATTTTTAAGCCACTAGTTCTTAAATCACATTTTTTTTTCTTTTTAATATAATCTTCTGAATGTAGGCTTGATAAGTTGAAGAATGGTAATAATTAGCAATTTCCTTTTTTAATTTGGGTTAATGTACCTCTAAAGAACGATAGAAAATAGGTAGGAGGTATGTCTCCGTGATAGATTAGGCACCTTGTTTGGCTTTTAATACCAAGCATGGAAGGTAGGGACCAGGAAGGAAGGATCTGTCGTAGTAGGAAAGGCTGAAATGAAACCTGGGCCAGGCAGTGAAAGGTGGCTGCCTGTGCTTTATGTGTCCTCACTTTGATTTTCTTCATAACAGTTGATGAATTCTGCAGAAGAGGATGTTTGCAATTCATCTGCTACAGGAGCTGAGCCCTGTAAAGAGAAGAACATGAGAAAGAGGAAACCTCAAGAAAAAAAGTGTATAAGCAAAGCACTTCCTAAAAAGAAACAGGCAAGAATGCTTTTCACAATTTAATATATATGGTGTGCTACATTTCTTCAGGGTACGGTAAGGGAAGCATGGGAACAGTGGTAAATAAATCTGTTCATTGTGTGGTTAGGGAGACATTGAAGTAGCTCTGCTGATTACCTGAGGGTAACAATTTGTTTATCTGCATCTGCTTCATCCGTATGTGTACCGAGCACAGTAAACAATAGACACGTGAAGCTGCTTCTCATCTTTAAGTATTCTACCTTTTTTCTTTTCTTTTTTCTTCCTCCCCTCCCTTGTTTTTCCCCATGTTTTACTAGGTAGCCCAGGTTGGCCTCGGATTCACCATCTTCCTGCCTCCATCTGCCCGTGTTGGAAATTTAAGTATCACGCCCAGCTCTTTTATTCGTCGTGGATGTGTGTATCTTTTTGTTAATGCTTGTGATTCTGAGAAGAAAGCTACACGGGTTCCTTCACCACTTAACTCTCTTGTTTTGTCACTGTGAAAGCCATTGTCCAGAACTCGGGATGGCTCCATCTTTAGCTGCAGGTCTCCTCTTTCAGGCATGGGTTCTAGGCTTGGTTAACTGACAAATATTCAATGCTAACAATTTATTTGTTTGTACTCTGGTTGCTTTAACACTTCTCCTAGGTCAGGTCAGGCCACACTTACCAATTTGTTAAGCACACATTCATCAGACTTTGCTTGTTATTTCTGACAGTGACAAAATGGCTGTTACAGATAAACGTCTGCAGGCCTCAACTTCTGTGAGGGAGTCCATATACCTCCTGCACTCTGATCTGCTCCAAAATCAACTACACTGCCGGCATGATGGCAGCAGCCCTGACACATAGGTGCCTTCAACCCCTGCATCTTTGAACTCTCTTTGTAATTGGCCATGAACGCTACACTTGGCCTGTACTTTCCTCATAGAGAGATAAGTGAACCAACTGCTACCTGGACTTCTAGCTACAGAGTCCCATCTCTGTCTAAAGAAAAGATTGGAAGCCAGTTTAGCAGGTGTCGCCGTTGTGTGCTTAGCATACTGTTAGCCACGTATTCTCAGCATGTGCAGTCCCTCGAATTCTACTCTTTGCCCTTGTAAATCATTTGCTTTCTGGTGACTTCATATGCAACCTTGTTATTAATGACCGAATTGTATTTATTTTTTATTGATTTATTATTTATTACTATTTATTACAATTTATTCACTTAGTAAGCTGCCTGTAGGCCCCTCCTCCCAGCCTTACCTTCCCTCCCTCTTCTCCCACTATGCCCCTCCCCTAGTCCACTGATAGGGGAGGTCCTTCTCACCTATTATCTGACCCTATCAGGTCTCATCAGGACTGGCTGCATCCTTTTTCTCTGTTGCCTGGTATGGCTACTACCCCCGCCCCCACCCAGGGGGAGGTGGTCAAAAAGCCAGCCACTGAGTCCATGTCAGAGATGAGTCCATGTCAGAGACAGCCCTTGCTCCCCTTACTAGGGAACCCACATGGATTCTGAGCTGCCTATGGTCTATATCTGAACAGGGGTTCTATATCCTCTCTATGCATAATGACCAAGTTTGAGAACCAAGTCATCTTAACTGCCTATTGGGCACATCTTCTAAAGTCCTCTGATGTCAACATTTCCAAAATTAGTCAGTTTCACCCCTCAGGAAACCCACATAAAACATTCCAGGAACGTACTTCTTATTTCATGAAACATAAAGGACTACTTTTCATTGTTAATTGCCATGGATACCACCGAGTCCTCAAATTCAGAAGAAACTGCAAGTTTTCCTGATTTATTTTCTTATTTGGGCTTAGGGAAATGATGAACAATTATCTTGCTTTAAAAGTGTGTTTGTGTTCATTCAAAGGTAAACATACCACTTGTTGCAAAAGAAACTGATTTTTTTTTAATCTATAGCTTTAAGAAGCTTAATTATAAATGCACATATATTCCTAGCAAATCAGTGGCCAGAAAATTTAGGAAGGTCTCAACATTGGTTTGCCCTAATCCCTTCCAGGACCCTACTTAATTAATGTATTGATGTACTATAAGCAATAGAGGTAGAATAGCAATGAGAAGGGGTGTTAAGCAACAGATGACAGCCTTCAATGAATTTCTAGAAGACAAGGCAGATGGGAACATGTTGACGGATAGAAGAGGTGGAAAGATTTACAGTTCAGAATGTGCTAGGAAGGGAACTAGAGGGATCTGGGAACCAGCCTGCTTGTGGGAATCCCAAGAGACTCTGGCCCAGAATTGGCAGGTACAATGGATGAGAAGCGTGAGAAGTAGTACTGAAAAAAAAAAGATTAATTGAAGACATATATGGAACAGTCTGCACCAGTTGGCATGCTCTCCCCTTTCCCACCCTGATGTTCAGACCAGATGTTGCCATGTAGGTTAAAGCCCCATTCTGGCATTTGTAAATTCCCACAATCTTGACAGCCGACTCTTGTCCTAACAGAGCCTAACAACTAACACTCTTGTACTGCCCGGCCCTGCCCTGCCCCACCCCACCTGACCACACATGAAGTTCCCAAGGAAAATTTCCATACAGCAAGGAGACTGAGCTGGGGCACACAGGAAACTGATATCATCAATCTATTCTGTTCTTAATTAAGAATCAGATCATTGTTATTGTAATATTAATAAGTTAAAAACAAAACAAAAACCTGACCTCAGAGAAGTCAGTTTTGGACTATAATACACACATATTTGAGAAATTAGGAAAGGGATTCTATAAAAAGGAACAGAAAAAAATGTAAAAATGGAAATTAGGAGGTTGCAGGTGGTTCTGAGTGTTAATCTGACTTCCACGGCCCTTCTGAGCCATTGATTTCCACAAGTGGCCACAATGCTCAATGTATGTCACCCACACCAGGGCAGAAATGAGTCTGCTGGCTAAGTGCTGACATTCTCCTAGATTTAGAAGAGCCACTAGTATTGCACGGGAAGATTTTATCTCAGGGAAATGTTGCATCTTAGTCTTGATGCACCTGGATGCTCCCAGCGGGCAGGTTCCCAAATACAGAAAAAGCACTATTTTCTCATGGTCAAGAGGATGGGCTTCATCTTAATCACTGTTCTGTTGCTGTGAAGAAATACCGTGAGTAAGACAACTCTTACAAAAGAAAGCATTTGATTGAGGCTGGCTTACACTTTCAGTGCTTTATTCATTATCATGGCAAGAAGCATGGCAGCATGAAGGCAGACATGGTACTTCAGAGCAGTTGAAAGTTCTACATCTGGATCAGCAGGTAGCAGGAGGAGCTAGGAGCTAGACACTGGGCCTGGCTTGAGCTTGATACCTCAAAGCCCATCCCTAGTGACATGATTCATCTAACAAGGCCACAGGGCCTAATCCTTTCAAGTAGTGCCACTCCTTCTGAGCCTATGGGAGCCATTTTCATACAAACCACCACATCCAGTGGCATCAGCAACGACAAATCCTGGTTTTGTGGGCTCTAGGCCTCTTAAGGGCTTGCCTCTATGCAGTTGCATCTAGCTGGTTCCTGAGCACTGAAGGCCACTGAAACAGAAGAAGCTCATTATGATTGGCCTGCAGGTCACTCGTAAATTCAGTGGCAACCACCCCGAAAAAACCTTAATGGAGTTTCAGTAAGGGACCTGGCATGTGTTACTAGGCTGAGTGGAACAAAAATGTACCAGCATTGAAAGCAGTTGTCCAGGAAGTATTGGACCTAAAGATGGAAGTGGTGCTCAAGTCCTTGACCTTTTCTTTTCTTAATCAATGATACTTCTAAAATTCCAGACTTCCCCACAGACACCTGGATTACCATGACTTCTCGCTCTGTCTTTCTTCACTCAAGTCATGTTCCCTTTTCATTTTGTTCACATTTGAGCCCTGTTGGAGGATATTGTAGCACAATGACTGTGCCATCACATTGTTAATTTAAAAAGTAGCCATCAAAGAAGAAGAAGAAAAAAAAAAGATCTGATCTGAAGAAAAGCAGCAAAGAATCACTAAGAGAGGCATAAAAAAGAATTTATGGCTCTGCCATAAATTGATAATCCTGAGACCAGAGTTGGATACAGTGGCATCTTCTAATACAGGTGTTCATGGTGCTGTCTCTGTCAACATGACCAAAAGCCACATCTCAAACCCATCATAGTACATCTCAGATGGTTTAATGCATATCTGTTCTGTTCTCTGGACTTGGCTCTTTAAATGAGCAGCAGCAGAAAAGTAATAAGGAAAAAAAGCTTTGTAGCTGTTGAGACCTGGCCATTTATATATGTAGTGCTAGGTGGTGGGTTGTGGGAAATACTTAACTATGCTTTTGTGCTTGTTTAATTATTCACTCAACATCATTGGTTGAAGAAAAGTCAATCTGAAGTTGTTTAGTGTTATATTAATTCACTGTTTATCTTTAAAGAAAAAGATCAAATCTGTTTTACCACACTCATTCCCCACACATACATATATAGGTGTACATGTATGCTAGGTAACAGTAATCAGACTGGAGAAAACATTTCTCAAAATTGAAGAAAGGGCTTTCCAAGCTGAAGGAGGTGAGGAATACCTGCTTTTTTTAGTTAATTTTTGATTGCTATGATAAAACACCATGACCAGGGTAACTTATGAAAATGTTTAGTTGGTCCTAGGTTTCAGAGGGTTAGAATTTAAGATAGATGGTGAACTAAAGGCATGGTTGCAAGCTGTAGGAGCAGAGGCCAAGAGCTCTCATCTCCATACACAAGCAGGAAGCACAAAGAGAGAGCTAACTCCAAAGGATGTATTGTTTTAACTTCAAAATCCTGTCCCACCGATATGCTTTGACATACTTCTCCTAATCCTCCCTAAACAGCCGTCAACAGGGTACCAGGTATTCAAAATCTGAGATTTATAGGGAACATCTCATTCAATCCTCCAAGCCTGGTACATTAGAAAGGCAGAACACAGACATGTCAATGTGAAACTAAAGAACATAGATAATAAGAAGGGTGGGCTCTGCTTAAAAAGAGACAGTCTAAGTGGCAGCAAATTTCTCAGGAATTAAAA